CTCCCCAGTGACTCAGGTGTGTCTGAAATACTTCTGAAAATTCCTTCTACAAGAGATGACAGTATGATGTCAGTGGACTTCTCTCGCCCCTGCACAGAAAACTGAAGGGGGCCTTTGTCAGAGGGACCAAGCCTATTAGATTTGACCACGGAATAGTGATTAAGCGAAATAATGGCAGGAAGTCCCAACATGGGCATCTGACATGACAGTTGCTACAGCAAGTAATTTCCCCTTTAAATTGCACAAACAGATTTCAAGTTTCGGATGAATTATATGATTAGTGATCTAATGTTCATGATAGTGAGTGATGAGGAGAACATGTAAATATATGGACATGAATACATTTATTTTACATTACTCACACATTATTCACAAACTGCATAGTTTGTTATACTTCTAAACGTTTTACACTAACACCTCAGATAATACTTAGCTATCGGAGTACCAGATTTAAACTGGGACTATATCAGGTCTCTAGGGATGATCATGGTCTAAAATGAGACCAAACCAGGTCTACAAAAAAACTAAACCTCAGCTAGTTCCAAATAAATATTAACCAAAATGAGGACAAAACTGATCTAAATCAAACTTTTTTTCCAAAGTTATAATAAATAAAAATTGCACCGTGAGTAGATAATTATCCAAATACCTTTATGGTGGCTGTAAGCAAAAATCTTTTCTTTTGGGCAAACACTGGCTATGTTCACATGCACATCAAAATGTGTAAACCTCAAAATCTGATGTGAGTAATCAGAGGGACCATGATCAGAAAGAAATTAGATTTTGTTGTTTACATGTCATTTTAATAGTCTTACAATTCAAAAAAAAAAAAAAAAATCTGAATATAAACAGATTCAGAGTGTGCATGTAACCACAGCCACTGTTGTGTGATTTAGTGAGGACAGGAGGCCAAGCAGACTGAGGAGGAAGCAGCAGAGGACAAGAGCATGGCAACTGGGATTCAAGTGGGGGCCCCTACATGACGCAAAACAGTTAAGTCCATATGTTTTATATAAGCTACATTGCAAGCATTATTAGCTGAATCTGCACTTTCAAACTATTGCAGCTTTATTAATAAGGACTCAGTTACTCAAATTACATACCAAAAAACTGCAGTCTAAAAAAATATATATATCCTTATATTTCCCAACAAAGTCTGGTTATCCACCTCTACAACCTCCTGGATTGAGAAATTACCATGATAACCATGACACGTAATGTAATTTACCTTCCTTCTTCCTGCATGGTGGGCATCTCTTTTGTCATTACAAGACAGGTATATTTAAAGCCATAACATGACAGATCGGTGCAGTAATTTTATTTAGGAAAGCTACAGTTCTGATACAACCACATTCACATGCGAAATGGATAGATTTGCAGTGTAAACATTGGGGTTGCCATAGCGTTCCGAGAGTAATAGTAGTAATACAGAGCAGGAGCTTGTGTGTGTGTTTGTGGAGAGAAGACTTGGAGTGACCCTGTTACCACAGAGGATGTGGGAGTGAGGGGGAGAGGACAATGTGATGCTCTTCAGGCCACAAGGCTTAGAGCAGCCTTCGCTCAGTCAAACAGGCAGATGATAAACAATGGAAAACCCTGGTGTGCTTGGCTACTTGCTGTATGTCCTGAAGAATTTAGAAAGGCATGTTATTGTTTTCTCATTACATCTCTATACAGCAGAGCCATGCAATCAAATATATATGCCAGAGTACAGTTCAAGTTTTCCTCATTTTGGGCTCTGAGTCCTCTTCAAGGGTAAATGAAACCATTCTAGCTTTGAAGCTGAAAAATCTATGGAGAACAATGAGGCTGATTTTGACAACACATGCCAAACCAAACCACATATCTGGTCTTTTTATGTGAAATGTAATTTTTCATGTAGTTTTCCCACTTAAAAGCAAATGCAACTGTAGCCAGCAAAGTTTGAGGCAATCCCATGCCTTGAGTAATGAAGCTACACAGGGCATAGGTATAATTAATTAAAAATATATTGCCATACTAATATGTGAATCATGGCACTTTAAGGAGCTAGACAATTTGCAGTGATGGAAAAATAAGCTCATGTGCATTCTTTGTGCAAGTCGCAGGCATGGATGATAAAGTTTACACATAAAGCCATTTTAAAATGTTAAAGCAAACCAAATTTATTCACCGTATTGGCAATCAAATAATATATTTAGCCATAATCAACCATAATCTCTTAAGTGAGACTAATAATAATATTCTTATCAATTAAAATATTGGCCCTCTTGAACTGTATGCTTTTAATTGTATGTTTTAATAGTATTTAACTTGTTTATGACAACTGTCTCCCTGATTTGACCTCTGACCGTTTGTCACAAGTTCACTGAGGTTGCTGGGTTTAAATCCTGGTGTGTCTGAGTGCACAGTTAACTAAAGAAACTCTTAAAACCACCTCTTAAATTCCCTTTGAGAACAATTTAACCAAGGACACAGCATCTTGTATTTTATGTTTGCATGCAACAGAGAGGGCTAGTGGCGCATGTACTTTAAAGTTAGTATTTTCTTCTTCACCTCCCCTCACCCTTACGCTCTCATTCATGTCTTCTCTTGGGTTTCCCTCCTCCTCAGCTGCAGGGCTTTTGGCCGTATGTCATTCTCAAACTGAGCATCAAGTTGCAATGTCTGGCTGGAAGTAGACTGGGAGACACAAGGGCATGGAGCAGACCCAAACACACAACCACACATGTATGAGAGCTCCACATGCAGAAAGGAGGGGCATAATAAATGTGAAAATGATCAAATGTAATCAAAAACAAAAGAAATAGTTTAACCTGTGTGCCAGCCAAAACCACTTCTCTACCCCACAGAGGTACCAACTCACATTTGGATAAAATATTATTGACATTTAACCAAAGGAATTACTCTCCATAGTTCAAAGCCGAATGTGTAAGTATTCAACCAAGTGTCAAGAAACTAAAATAAACTAAAATATCACAATACACAGTAGTAGAAATATTGTGTGTACTCAATACTCCAAAAAAGGTCTGTGAGTAAAAGCAATGCAACACCGCTACTACCACTTGCCACTAGCACACTCTGACAGTGTAGGTCAGGTCACTCTCTACGGTTAAAGGTGAATTATGTAACTTTTCTGATGGAGGGTCCACCATGTTATTATACTGTTATGTTGTTATTGCTTTGCCTCAAATTTTCCACAGTATGGCATTAAACGTATTTATCACACATTTTTTCAAGTTGTTCTACTGTCAGAAATACAATAAAAAACATGCATTCTCACTGTGAGCTGGCTCTCTCCACAGATCTGACCTGTAACTTGGTCCAGTGAAATCCCATGTTTGTCTCCAAAGAGAAAGCTAAGTTTAAAGCTATACTGTAACATCCCAGGCATTTTCTTTAATACATCAGGTGGCATAACCTTCAAGAGAAAAGTCCCATCTGCATCTTTAATTACAGTATTCACTTGCGCAGAGACCAGATCAAAATTGGGACTAAACTGTGACTAAGCCCCAAACTAAACCTGGACTAGTTTAGGACTGAACCAGGACTAGAACAAGACCAAACCAGGTCCATTTGATTACTAAATTAGGCTCAAACCATAAACAAACCAGGACAAGAATTCTAACTATAAACTGCAGTCATTATAACCCCATTATCAAAGATTCCAAATAAATTCTTAAAATGAGTAGAAGTTTTCAACACAATAATTATGTTTTAGAGGTAAAATGTAGGCCTATTCAGAACATACAGTAAAAATTCTTTTAACAGTGCCCTCTCCAGTATCCAGTTACTTTCCACCTCTTACCACAGCCAAATGCATAAAAAAGGAGCAAAGAGGGGCTCAGGGGCCTAGTGTAGCCAGGGCATAAGTTTTGAGGTTTTCCGCGGGAGAGATAAAACCTTTGTGGGAACCCTGTCAGGAGGAATCTGACAGAATTAACTGTAGTTCCCCTGCTCCATTCTAAAAGCAAACAGCACAGGGCCATCCTACAAAAGCATGGTAAAGAGGAGAGCGTTGTGGTCACACTACAACATAACCAGAATCATGTGTGCGGTTTTATGAAGTTTAAAACCCATAATGATGTAGTATTAAACGATTGTATCGCCGTACGGTTTGACGGCTGAAAGGAAGGGGTGGGAGGAGCGTATAAATAGCCAGATTTCTCCCATGAACTCCTCTGGCACCTCAAAAGTCACTAAGATTTTGCAAACTCGCTCAACTTATAACAGCCCCCTCTTTTTTCCATTGTTGCTGCTTTTGAAGGTTTTTTGAAGATTTCTAGCCCCATTTGCGAAGTGGGTTATAAGAGAGCCTGGCTTTGATTATCATGCAGCAGTTGTATGCAATAGTAAGACATTGGCAAGAGACATTTTGCAGAAGTAGCTCTTGTGTAACATATTAGCAATGAAGTTATTGTTTGTATTATACAGTATACAATGTAGTATACAATGACTGCAGTGATAGGCCCATTTCTCATTAGTAGGTTAGCCAACACAAGAACTTGTAGGAGTTTTTTTTTTTAACATGTAATTATTATAATTTGTCAAGAGCTTCAAATTTTGTTTAGTCTACTACTAGCCTACTACAACATTTCATTAATACAGTAATGACATCTATCTATAACATATTGTTAATTATAAATTAGGAAGCTACTACTGCGTAATTTATTATGAAATGCCCTCTTATGGTTTGTGGTTGCCAATAATTACTAGGCTTAATAAATAAAATGCAGATCTGTGGTTAGTCCTCTTAGTGTCCTAAAAGACAACAGATATTGATCAAAGTCCAATTTAGTTCTCTAAGTGAGATTGAGATTAAACCATTGCATCCCATCCTTTTATGTAGTAATATAATAACGACATGTAAAAAAAAAATGTATTATTAATCATTACTCACACAACATGGATTTGGAGCATATCTATCCAGTGTCAGCCTAGGCCGCCTGTTGGGGCGTCAGGGGAGGTGTGGACGCGCAGAAAGGGGTGGACCACGTGATAAACTCTACTGCGCTCTCTTGGCGGGCCAAAAAGTTCTCCTTGAGCTTTACAGCTCTATACCTGCTGCGAACTGTCCTCAGCCTATTCTCCCTGATCCCCCTCTTTCCGCCTTTGCCTCGTCTCTGAGTTCCAATTGGCTGCAGGGCTAAAGACGCGCCGTCCCAGCCCACCCACAGTCTTTTTTAGAGCTCCGTCGGTGGCCGAGTTCACCGTGACTTCCTCGCCTTGGGATCCGGGCTGAGCGTACGTAGACACGGCTACAGCATGGCAGCTAGTCACGATTATAGAGGCTACCTACGGGACAGCGTTGATCTGGAGGCGACCCAGCACCACCGCTTTCACCCGGTCCAGAGCTCGGAGACCACGTACCGGCCGTTCCTAATTGGGACCCTTGCTATTATGGGATTGCTTCAGGTGGCTTCCAGCGTGGCCATCTTATTGCACCTGACCGGTTATCTGCAAGAGGTAAGAGGACTTAGCATGACATTCGCGTTTTGAAAATATTTTACAGTTAATGTTTAGCAACAAATAATAATGCTTAATTTGTTAATTACTTTAGTTTCTTATTATAAAAAATATAACTTCATGCATTCGAGTAAGATGGTAGGCTTGGCCTGTGTTACAGTTTAAACAAAAGAATTGGTAGGTTACGTGTGCATTGCTGCGCAGTCCAAACTCTTTCCTGGAGTTCTTGAAGTCTTTCAGTAAAACTCTCATCTGGCAGAGCAGCTCTGTAAGGCCCCATGAACGCGCTCTGGAGTGATCATATCTTCAGTCTACAAATGTCAGCCTATAAGACGTCTTGTTTTGCAAAATACAGATGTTTTCACTTTAGCCGCAGGGCTGCACACTTTCATTCTCGTGTTTACATACCATCTGGAGGTTATAGTAATTTACATGTGCCATAAATTATAAACTTTAACTGGATCTGTATTTATGATGGAGGGGAAGCGTGCAGGCAGAAGTTTGATCCTAGAGTATGGCAGTATGCCAGTATAGATGTTTTAATTTGGAAACAATGTCATATCAAAATATAGTCCATTGTCTTATCTGATACAGTATAAATTGATAAATCATAAACCCATATTAAGTTAATTCAACATTACAGGAAGCACAAAGTTCACCTGAAAACCATCCCTTCTCTCTGCCCTTGTGTGTGTGTGTTTGTGTGTTGAATTTCTTTTGGCTTGTTCTTGGCATAAACACACAGCTGTGCGGTAGTGGCTTGTTATTCACTGGACCTTAGCCAGACGGGAAAAGCACATGAAAAATGAGCGGGGGAAAGTTGAAAAAAGTAAACACTAAAAGTTTGGGTACTGTGCAACCGCTGTGGTCGTGTATAAGTAATAACAATCCATGAGATAGAAATGTGATGAGAGGTTATAAGCTCTTGTTCCTTATGTACTGATATTATACAGAGGTTGAGTATCTTTGGCTGGTCAGGACTGAGTAGATACATATTTTATTCATGCCCAACAGGAGAAACTGATTTAAATCAGAGGTTTCCAAACATCATAAAGAAATGCGTATAGCAGCATACATGAAGCGCAGGGCCACAGACTGGTGGTCAGTACAGTCAGTCATTGAAATATGTGCATTTAGCAGCACACACCTTTGTGAAGGCTTTGACCCTAATACGATCCATTTCACACCAAAATGTTTGTTGTGCAGCTATGGTGGTGGAGGTTTTGCAATAAAAACTACTGCTTATGATAATTTGGACCAATTTACTATAAAGAAGCAAACAAAGATTTACTGAGGGCCGCATTTGGCTTCTGGACCATGGACATGCCTGATTTAGATCAACAGTAGTGCATGTGATGACAGCTGTTGCATATGGGAGCACTTTCACTATGAGTCAGTAAAAGTGCAGAGTTTGGCAGTAGACCATCACCTCTTCTCAGCACCTGTAGAATGACTTCCTGGAGATGCAAAGTGGACGCAGCACTCTGTCTAGGAATGTGCCTATCCGTGCCTTGTTAAAAGGAGGACATTTTACAGTAGTTTTGACAGTACAAATTCATTGCATAGTTTCATACAATAAAGAGCCTAAAGTGGACTGCTGCAGTGGAATGTAGGGTGACATGTGTAAAGTAACTTAGCCCCCTCCTCCTTTAGCAGCACATAATCTCTACAGTACCGCCTGTCTTCCTGTGCGTTTTGAAACATATTCCTCCCACACAAAACTCAAGAAAACATCTTAAAAATGTAGCACACGTGATTTAACAGCCCTGTTCTTTATCTCTTTATCGCTTAATCTGCTCAACTATGTTTTGTGTTCTTATGTCTTTTCAGGTAGATTTGTCCGCAGCACCACATCGGCCTATTGAGGTGAGTGACTTAAAAAAAAACTTATTATATTTGATATGCACACATGCCTTCTCGCAAACAGCAATGTATCTAAATGGAATGTGTAATAAATGAGTAACTATCAAGCTGAAGACTATTTGATCACAGTTAAAAAATTGTCAACTGTCAACTAATTTAGTAATCAAATAATATTAATCTGGTCTATCCAGTTCAGAACCTGCAATTTGCTGAGAGCAGAGATTTATGTAAATGTGCTCAGTCAGAATGACCTCAAGCGGCTTCACTGTAGCTTTATTTAGGTCATATTAAAAAAAAAATCTTATATTCACAAATCTTTTGCTGCTTAAACAAGTAATTGATTTACCAAGTAGCAATGTAAATGTTAGTTGCAGCCCTAAGTAACAAGGAGCAAGAACAGAGTTTGCCAGATGCAAGTTTAGAAAGGCATTCGATTTCTTTGAAAGTTGATTCTAATCAATTGTATGGGACTAATAGGAATGCTATTATAAAACATTACTTGGCAACAAATGTCTGTAATGTAATGAATATATTTGACTGATTTAATCTGTTTTTTGTGTGGCACCAAGCATGCCAGCATAAACAACATTTTAGTTTATTTTTACCTGCTACTTCCTTCTCTGTATGAGAAAATATCTCTTAATCAACAGTTCGAATCGATAAACATTATGTGATGTCAAACTGACAGAAATGTATTTTTTATGGGTGTAGAATCAAGGTCTTACAACATACAACACCTCTATGGCTTTAACTAGAAAAACGTTCAATCATAATAATAGTAATAGTGATATAATTCCTACTAAGTGAAGTAAGTGAGTCATATGTGGGCGTCGGTGCCATCAATAAGATAGACCATGGGAAATCCTAACAGTTTTCTTGCAATATAAATTCTGTTTCAAAGTCACCACCCTTTTTTGGCACAGTCCAGCAAAGTCAAATATCACTTATTATGGGGATATCTTCTGCTTCGGTAATGTTTTTCCAAATGCTCTTTCTAACCCCCTTTCAAATCAGACTATTCTTTATGTTTCCCAAGCGCACTCAAACCACCCAGCATGTCTTGGGCTGAAGAGCTCATTGCATTGGCCATTTTCCATCAAGTGAAAGGTTGATCCATTGTGGGTGCTTTATGAGGTGTCAGGGTGATAGGTTTTTGGCCTTTCTTCTCTTATAAGCCTCCACTGACTGTCCGGCTAAGTGCTAAGGAGAGCTGTGCATGCATCTGTCAGCCCCTCTGATGCAGCTGGGCTGTGGCTGTGGTCAGTGACATCTCAAAAGTGATGAGAATACAGCAATTCAGAATCACACAAAGCTGCTCAAATGACTGTTTACAGTGTACATAGAACTTGTTCAACAAAAGCAAGCATCTGCCAGGGTGGCCTCGGTTTCAGTATCTTGTAAACCGCTCCTTAAGATAATAGTTTGAATGACACATGACGCTGAGTAAAAAGACGGGGATGGAGGCCATTAGACTTACTTTTCTTGTATGACATTTATATTCTCATGTGGCCCTTAACACCTACCTATAAAAATATAAAATTTGTAGATCAGACACAGATTTGAAGTGTATTTAATTAAAAGATATTCTGGTTAAATCTCTGGTTACCGTGCCATGAGCACATCAGTAGAGATTGCACACTACTTAGTTGCTAAGCTGTTACATTTTCAAGTGTTTGTCTTGGTCTCATTCCTGAACATTGTCTTGTAAACATGTGAACTGAAAGTTGTTTTGAACAAGTGTCATTCTAGTTTACTAGTTGCAAAATCTACAAAATAGGACTGTGCATGGTGATTATTGGACTATAGTACTAACCTGGCAAAGAGTTTAAATGGCATGACTCTGCAGTTGTCCTTGGTGCATAGTTGCAGAGGCATTTCTGGCAGCGGGTGCGTTTAAGTTGCTATGTTCTTCAGGTATTTCAAAACTTTCATTTAGCCTGTGTCTGTTTCTGTTTTTGTCGCTGGTTTGACGCTGGAGTTACATGAGATTGGCGCCATTCCTGAGGATTTAGATCAGAAGAACAAGTCAAAACTCCTTCAGGATGCAATAAAATTCTATTAATGGAGTCAGCTTAATCTTTTCCTGACACTTGACTGACAGCTCTAATTGCATAGATTTTGCACACATAAATAATGGCACAAATAATGGCACATGTTACCAAAGCCATATGTCAAATGAGTTGCATCTGCTCAGATAGATCTAAACTTTGCTTTGCATGTTGAATGCAATCAAAAAGAGGGAGATCTTGTTTACTTGCTTGGAAACCGTGTTTGTCTCTCATCTATCAGCTTGTGCCTGAGGTGCTGTGCTTCTCCATAGAGGCAAAATGATTGTGATTTCAACTTTGAATGCCATAGAGTCACTCATGTATCCATTAAAAATGTTTGACCCAGAGAGTCACAGACTATTTATTTGAAAATGTGCCTATACTGGCAGAGAAGTTGAACAAAGACAAAAGAAAAAAACATTTTTTGAGTCAGTTTTTATTATGCTGATTGTTGAAATAAAATTTGTACAAACTGAAATAATGATTTCTTTGTGTTGCAGGAAATGCAGACAGAACCAATTATGAATGCCTTACAAGGCACGCAAAAACTGAGAAAATGCAACAAGAACAGATGTAAAAGTCCTAGAGACAGTGTGCCATCGGCTCATCTACCGATCAGAGCGAAACAAGAGTACCCAAGTGAGTTCTTTCTGTTCACTTACAATGCAGAGGATTTAAGATTAAGATTAGAATTGTATAATCTTTAAATTGTTGAATTTAGGAACTTCATTCTCACAGGGCGTCACCAACCAGTATACAGTTTTGTTAAAGTTTATACTGCCTTCTAATTTAAAACTGTCAAAAGCCTCTTCCAGTGTTTGAGCCTGTTCCAAGTCTTGAAAATGTAAGCCTGTGTGAGAGAGATTTGCTATAGCACTGGTGACCCCAGAATAATGTTGATATCATGTTCTATTTTGCGAAAGATTATTTTTATTTAGGTAAATCACCCTTTAAAACCTGAAGTGTGAAGTGAAGCAGATATTTTTATAAAATACAATGTTGAGAACTCCCAACACATTTTAAAGGGGCTTTGTTGTTTGGCGACATCTGCCAGAGACACTCATTGTTGGACATGAACTATGTGGAAACAACTGTCTGTGACTTTCCTACACAGTTGTTTCTCTGTCATGGTGCAACATACAAGTAAAAGAGAGGAATAAATGGGCAAGACAGTTCAACTTGAGCTTCTCACCCCTGAGTACAGGTCCTTATAATATTGTTTATAGTGGACATATTGTTTAAAGACAACTTACTTATATGAGCTTCCTATATGTTTGAATAATCCTGTATTGCCCTACACTGGAGGCTTGAGTGCTCAGAAAAATTCTGGTTTCAAATACCCCCTAACCCCACCCACAGACCTGTGCTTACTTGCAATTATTTAATAGCCACATAGCCATTTTTCAACTATAAAAACTATTAAATTACTATCAGCTGCTTGCTATTGTGAAATGAAGAGGTGGGGCCAAGAATTTCTGCAGTTTTGAACAGAACAAACCATTTTTATTATTATGTTGTTTTAGATCAATCTTGCGGTTTACAATGAAGAAAATGTAAAATAATGATCTACATATGTTAGAGTTTAATACAAAAAAGCATAATATGTTTTCTTCTTTACAAAATATTGAAAAGATACAAATAGTTGTGCTATGTCTGTCTGCAGAAGGCAAGCAGCAACCTGTGACTATCGAATGGGACAATAGCCAAGGAGATCTCCACTGCATTAAGTACGACAAAGGGAAGCTGTTAATTGATGAGCCTGGGTACTACTACGTCTATGCCAAGACCTGCTTCCGCTACTACCATATGGCAGAGGACCGGGAGACCTCCTTGATGGAAAACCTTCAGCTCATCCAATACATTTGCCATGACATCCACCAACAGAATACCAGGGTGAGACTGATGAAAACTGGTAGCACCCCAAGATGGAACAACACCAGCTACAACATGTACTGTGCACAGCAAGGCCGTGGGGTGCGGCTAGAGCAGGGAGACGCGCTATTCGTTAATGTGTCTAACGCATGGCTATTGGACCGGGAGACTGAGGGGACATACTTTGGGGTCATAAAGCTGGCCAACTGACATGTAAATTAATGGAGTGGACATGCTACTGAACATTCAATATGCCAAAGACCACTGTTATTGCTAATTTTCTTGTCACTATTGTCGTCTCATGTTGATTTGTCAGAAGAATTTCCTGTAATTATTCACACGTTTCACCACAAAGGTTGGTAAAAAAAACAAATGAAAAGTGATGGATTGCCACTTTTACAATTAGGTAATGACTCGCAACGTTCAGACATCACGAAATGTAGAGACAAGTTCAATTATATCTTTGTACCTTGTCCAAAACGGTACTGGATATGTTCATAAATATTGACAATTGCTGGGGAATACTTGTTCAATGTACTTTGGGGGATTTAAACAGATCTGTACCATTTAAAACAAACCTCACAGGTCAGAGCTGGTCGGCCTGTACATTGGAGCTCTTCTGGCATCTGCTTACACTTTGTATGGAGCCAGATAAAACTAACAATCCCCCAGACCTGTGTCTCTGACCCTTAGCAGACGCATATGGAGTGTTTGATGGTCAATGAGGCATCCCTGCTCTATGTAACCGATGTATGCTATGGGGTAGAGTAGGCAGTGGGGATTTGTTTTCCTTAAAGGTGGAAAATGAATAATTTTCTCTGCCATGTTTTAAGTCAAACAAGTATGTTGTAGATGTAAAACACAGATTCTCGTGACGTAAAATTGACAAATGATTATTGACTATCAACTTGCAAAGCAGATAGCTGGACTGTCTGGCCAATAATGACATGAAAAGTCTCCTTTAACTTGAACCAAATTGATTTTGGTTCATCATTAACTTAATTTTTTTTTCATTTGACTCTTCAGCGAGGTAAATGGGAATATGCACTAAATATTTATTTATTAGTTTTAGAGTTACAGAGAGGGGCCACTGTTACAGTGAGTGCTCAGCTGTAGAACAACAGTATATTTCATGTCTGTTTGACGTCCATTATGCAGCACTTAGAGGCTATAGTAGACATGCTTTTTGTTATAAAAACACAGGGGCTTTCATTTTGAATTCAATATTTATGTGTCTTATTTTTGACAACTGTGTGTGCACTCGCCTTGACATGAGCAGGATGGATGTAATGTTTTAGATTGTACAATACAGTAAGATTGTTGTTTATACAATATTTTGTCAATATTATTTATGTTGTTAATAAAACTACTTTTGTAACAATTTGAATGCACTGATGGTATATGGTATGTCTTTCTGGTAGAACTGTGATGAGCTAAGCAAATTAATACTGAAATTTATACTAAAATCCCTGGAAAAAGCAACACAGTTATGGCTGTAGAGTGAAGTCACAGTGTCTGCCTCCTGAGTGCTCCACCGTCTCACTACCTTCGTAGATTGTGTAAAGAAGCCTCCCACTACTCCAGCACCACTAACTGGCAGCAGACATTTGAACCAATGCAGCAGAAACACATCACACAAAAGCAGGACGATCATTTTGTAGAATTTAATGTCACCTTAATCATTGTGATATGGCAAGAATAGAGGGAATGTTCATGCAGATATATGATGGAGGGACAGCTGTATGTGGTAGGCTCTGGAAATTAAAGCATTTCTTTAAAACTATAAAGAGAATTTAGCAAGACTATTTGCAGGAGAACAAATCAATAACATGAGTTACAGCCTTATGGTTTTCCAGTCCACTTTAACAAAAGTATAAGGGATATTTAATGCTGGTAGTGGGTTCACTTACCATATGCTGAGACCTCACAGGGCTTCATCAAACAGAAACGCAAGAGCTCTTATACAAAGCTACAGTACAAAGCCGACACCATTTTGGCTATGTGATTTTTACAACATAAATATCTCAGAGGCAATCATCCATGTCGGGAGTAATAAAACACCAATAAGCAATATAAAATATACAACCCCTTATAGACATTATATAATTTTGTGGAATATTCCTCTGGACTGTGCATTGGGCCTCAGTTTCAGATTGAAATAGTCAAAGCCATAACAGTGTAAACAGTGGATTTCCGTAGTGTGCCACCATTTTGAAGTGACTCAATTTCTCAATTTTTGGCCGAGCTGAGAAACCATTAAAATGTGTTGTGTCAGTAAACAGTACGGACAGCCTGGCCCCCACTGTAAGTCCCTTCTGAACCTGAAATGTTTAACATCACTCAAAAGAAGTACAAAGCATTTCACTTGCTCTCACCGCTTCATAAAAATGGCTGAATTTTGGCTGGAGAGGACATTCTGTCCCGACTTTTGTTATTGTTCTTACATGTATAAACACAGAGGAGACGGTATGACATTTGGCTTATGGACACTAGCATCACATGAGTTTCATGCAGGATAAAGAACTTAGGAATGACCAGGACTTAAGTTATTGTTACTTTGCAGCTAATGTCATCAACATTCCCTGGAGGTGTGATACTAATTGTAGGCACTACCTTGTCTGAGGCTCTGTTAGACTTTAATCTGAGTTTTACTTTAACACAATCTGACCAGAAAGAATTGACTTAGCTGGACGTACAACAATTAAGTTGTACTGTTAAAGTTTTCCAGTTACACACTCACCTTTTGTAGGAAATCAAACACCCAAACAGGGCCATCGGCACTCGTATTGATCACAGACTACTGAAAATGTGTTGCTTAAATCCATTCAGACTATTTTAAAGGTTATTTGGTAGTGTTTGCTAATGTGTGCACTGTGTATCGATGGTAACTGGTAAACATTCTGCCAATACACATACATGTAGGATACCCCAGCATGATATCACCACAAAGAATCAATTGGAAGAAGGAGTGCATTTCATTTAAATGAGGATTTGCATTAGATGCCCTCCTAAAAAAATATATTACAATATTACCATTACTACATAACTTAGATCTTCACTTGATAATTTCTGCTACCACTGCAGCCACTATTAGGGCTTATTCTACCTACTGCTGATCATATGTTTCATTATTTCTAACTAACCTCTGAGGTAAAGTACTTTTACTTACTTTATCAGAGAATAAGCATTTATAATCATAATAAAGATACATCTTAAGCCACAACTGCCCTGGGCCAAACTAGCGGAATAGAGGCTGTGGCGCTTACAACCAAAACCACTCAGACACTACTATGCACAGCACGCACAGGAAAGGTGAGGGAAGTGTCTTGCCCAAGAACACAATGACAGCATGCTCTGGTCTGAGTAGGGATCTAACCACTAACCCTTGAATTGGTGGGTGAGCACTCTAACTGAGAATGTTGATTGTCTTAACCCCAGATAAATAGATTAATGAATACTAGAAAAGCAGCTAATATAATCAACAAATTATACACAAATCTTGGTGTTACAGGAAGTGCCTGACCCATATTTTAAAGGATAAATAGTACAATTATGCACATCTCTGTAAGACATTAACACAAACTGTGTGTTCTCTGAAGTAGATGTGGAGAGGTTTTGGAAAATATGTTGGTGTGTTTTTACCCGTAAGAACCGGAGGCATCAATATAAGAAGTTGGTGTTATTAGCAAAATGGGTGCTAAACTTTATGGGCCTGTGGTTTGGAGGAAACAGAAACTGAGAAGCAGCTGGAGGTCTTTATATAATTGCCAGTCAGGTTAGTAAGCATTTCACACGGCATTTAAATATCCACACTCACTATCGATGTATGTATCTAAGCCCACAAACAATAACAAACACTTACGGGCAAGCTGCACGCACACTCTCCTTTGCTTAGTCAGCGCACACAACTATTTTCACAAGCCTTTGTTTTCACCCAAATGTACCATGTAAGTGCAGTATTGTTAGCATTAAAGCATTGAAGTCTGATAGACATTTTCACGACCTATCTACTGCTAACTATTGTGATGTCAAAGGAAGATGTAAGCTATGTGTAAAATTGGGGAGGCATGAGCAGTAGACCGCTGTGGGGTTGTTACGGTAACAGAGCTGTGTCATGTGTGAGCAGTCTGGTTTGGATGAAGCTGACAGAGAGAAGTTAAATTACACATGTACAAGCCAGCAAAAATAGTTTCACCCTCACGCACTACCTGTCATGTTCAACGGTGAATTATCTTTACCAGTTGTATTGGACCACATGAGTTTTCTGACAATCCTCAAATGCATGAGACCAGGCATTTTCACCATCACATCTTTTCTGGACCAATGTCAGTAGATATTTGTTATGCTTCTAGACAGCAAATGTTAACACAAATCATGCAAATGCTTTCAAATGGATAGATCCCCCCAACCAGTCTGGACAACTCCTAATCCTGCTTTTACCTGCCTATTGTTTACAGCATATCCCTTTAAAGTCCATAATTGATCGTGAACAAACTCTCACAAGAATAATCACAAGATATAAATTAGAATCCATTGACATCTTGGTAAGTTTATCCCTAAATATTAGCACCATGGACAATCTTGTGGGAGCAGCAGCTCTACTCTGAGCCCCTCTTGGGTGAGTATTCATCTTGGCTCTACTGTATTTTTATGTGAGGCTCATACATCTAAAATATATCAGTAAGTGTTTCATACTGACAGTGATGCTCTTCGTTACAGGTCTGTTAACTGTTAACAAAACACCTATGCTTGAGATGGAAAAACTTTCACCAATACTTTTAACATAAGAGGGATTAAATCAAACCATCAAACCAATATTTATGACTTGACATACAAAAGAATCTACTTTGACCCATGTTTGAGCTCAAATCCACAGAGGACTGGACCAGTCAAAATGGAAGAATAGTGGTTTGGGCTCCAAAGACCAAGCCTGAACAAAACAAAAGTCAAGTGGCCATACAGTGCCTGATATTCATCCTGTTGTACACAGAAAGACAATGTCATAATAAAAGAGTAGCGAGACAAATTTCAAACATTTCTTCTTCTCTAAGTTTGGTTTACCAACTTGCTCCGTTGTTGTGACCCCTCACAAATCAGCTTGAGGTATTTGCTTGCATGTTCAAAGCAATATTTGTCCAAGCACCTATAATTGTGGAAATAAATAAATAGTCTAGAATGATAGCAACTAATAGGCAAACATAGAATCACTCAAAGCAACGTAATAAATACAGTACGTCACGCAGGGAATACCCCTAAAGAACCACACAATCAAACACATGTAATCCTGGGCTGATCCTGAGAGGATCAAGAGCCTCAAAAGGCTCACATATTATCCTTATGATGTGGGGACACCTGCACCCACGTTACAGGTAACTCAGATTAACACTAATGTCTTTGTGTGGACACCTGTAGCTGGTCTGCAGAATCAGATTAGACTGGTCTGTTGTATTATTAATGGATTAATAAAGTAGGCCATCAGATGTCTTCATGACAGATCAATTAAAAGACCCACATTACACTGTTCTCTGATCTATGTTATAATGCTATTTCCTCATCACAAATATATCTGGAGTTGTGTTTTGTTTAATTCACAAATGTTTAACACACAAATTCTGCATATTTGATCATAAGTTCTTTTCTATAACTGAAAACACTGTTCCACCTTCTGTTTAAAACCATTAAATTACAGTCAGTGACTCAAATAAAAACAAATATGCAATATTTCATATTGACCAAAAACAACTAGAGACTAGAAACTATTTAGATTAGATTTTTTTTTCAAAAGAGAAGAGAAAAGAGAAAAATGGTACACATGGGAATTGTTGATGTTTGCTTCCTGTTCCAGGGGTGATTAGGCCCATTGGCCTTGTTTATGAGGAAAGTAGCTGGTCAATGCAAAACACTTTGATCATCCTAGAATATATAAAGCTTTTTCAAATGAATGCATAATGCCTTTACAGCAATTACTTTGCTACTGGAAAACACTTTATTTAAATTTAAATGGGTATTTTCCTGCACTACATTATTAAACACATGCTTGAGAATACGTGTGAGGATGAAGAGTGTATGTTCTTTTCTTTCCAAAAGCATTTGAGAAAACTTCCCCTTTAGACTCATATGGAGATTAATATATCATTGTTGGCAATCTCTCTGGTGTCAAACCAGGCCATTGTAAGCCACAATGTACTGCATCAGATCTGAATCTGCTACAACAAGAGAATCTGACTAGTGCAGCAGATTTTCCTCCAGGCATGACCTTGATAAGACCACACGCCTCTTCTCAACCACAGACAACCAGCATCTCCCTGGGCCACCTTTGTCAGATCAAACACACTGCCACTTCTGATTAGTTAGAATTTTGTTATCAGTTTGTGTTAAGTTTGTAGTTTTT